TAATCCACAAAGCAGGGATGCATGTCAGCTACAGGTCAACAGCAACATGCTCTTGGCATCCAAAAGGCTTGACGAAAACTCACTTGTAACCCAGACAGCAATATTCCCTCCACAAGGAATTTCCCATCTTTAAATCTAAGGAGAGAAATTTAACCTATATTCACTACAGTTACCTGAAAAGGTGGACAATATTGGGTTCTTATTGCTATCTCATGAATACAGTTGAAATTCTGCATCTATAGACAAAACTAATGCCATACAAACAGCGGATTTAAAGCTGTTATAAGTCCAATCAGTCAAAAGTGCCAGACAAAAGAGTGCACAATATCAGGAGTGGAACTATCAACCAGCAAGATTCCTTCCCTTCATCCAGCTCTTTGCACTTCTTTGCAGGTCATGATGCTCCCAGGTAGATGGAAGGAAATCAATAATGAAGCAAGATGACTACGCCGAGAAATACCAACACCAATATCCTGGGGTTCAGATCATTGGTCTCCAACATTCATCTTCCTTTGTGCAAGGTATGGCTCACACCAGTAGAGTGATTTCTCACCAATTACTATTGATTTCAAGTTTGCTAAAGCTTCTTTTATTCTTTGGATTTGAACATCGCTGGCTCGGCTAGCATTTTTATTGCCCATTCCCAATTGCCATTGAGGTGGGTGACGTTGAGCCACCTTCTGGAACCGCTGCAGTCCGAACAGTGTAGTCACATCTTCAGTGCTGTTACGAAGTTCCAAGATGTTGACACAGTGACAGTGAAGAAACGGCAATTATATTTTCAAGTCAGGATTGTGTATGACTTGGAGGGGACTGTATAGGTGATGATGCTCCCATGTATCTGCTGCCTTTATCCCTGTAGATAGCGCATTTCACAGATTTCAAAAGTGCTATCAAAGGAGGCTTGGTGAATTTCTGCAGTCAATCAATCTTGTATTGCTGGAGGAAATAAAGGTTGAAGATAGATGGGAACGACTATCAAGCAAGCTGTTTTGCCCTGGGTAGTGTTAAAGTTGAAGTGTTGTTAGAGCTAACACATTCAGGCAAGCGGACAGTATTCCATCTACTGACCTGTGCCTTGTTGATGATACTTTCAATAAGGAAGCACGTGTCATGTCACAGGACTCCCAGCCTCTAACCTGTTATTGTCACCATAGTATTTACTTGCCTGGTCCAGTTTAGTTTCTGATCACTTCCAGGATGTTTTAAGCACTTGGCGTCGCACATTGTCAATTGCTGCCTTGATGCCAAGAGCAGCCAATTTTCTTCTCATGCTTTTGCTCATGTTTGGGTCAAGACTACAATGAGCTGGCAATCCAAACCGAGTGTCAGTTAGCAAGTTATTGATGCAACTGGAAGAAGACAGCTATCAGTGATTGCGGTAACCTCAAGAAGCAGCCAAAATAGCCATTTAACTTGATGCTTCTGACTAAAGGTGCACACTTTCTTTTGTAACGGTTTGCGGGGCTTCATCATTAAGGATGGAGGTATTTGTTGATTATATTCCAGGAAGTCATAGGTATGAGTGTGGCAATTTCCAAATTGCACATTTCCAATCAATCCAAAACTCATTCCTAGCCAGGTCAAATGGACAAGGAACTCCAACCACTGAACCTTCAAAATGATGTTGGGAGTATAAAACAAGTCTCACCATGCTGGCACTAATGTTACTGCTGCAAAGAATGAACAAGCACAACAGGACTCTAGAATAATGAGTAGTTCAAAAGGGACCAGTATATGAGATACAAAAAGAAAACCAACAAACAGCATGTCTCTTCTTACTCAAAGGTGCATTTTAGGTATCGGATTCTTATTTAGTACACATTCCAAGAATTGTTGCAAGTCAATAATCATTTCAATAAATATTTAATGTATAATTTATCAATCCTGAACAACTTTTTTACTTGAAATATTGTCTCCATGATGTTTTTTAATCCTCTCATTCACATCTCATCTTCACAGTTTTGACTTTGTTGAAATACACAAATTAAACAGTTTGGTTCCCTCTTCAGGTTATTCCCTGCCAATACAGTAAGGAATTTGTAAAGAACAAACCCGCATTTCTGTAGGACATTTCATAATCTCGCAATGTCCCAAAGTAATTTATGGTCATTTTTGCTCAACTTAAGCATTGTTATCAGCAACACAGCAGCTAATTTGGGGTCAGCAAGATCCAATACATCAACATGATAATGACTGGATAACATCTTTTACTGTAGGCAATTCAAGGTCAAATATGGGTTGGAATGGCAGAATTGCTCTGCACTTCTTTCAATCTTCCATATTTACTTGAGGGGACAGATGGAGTCTCAGGTCAAAATATAATCTGAAAAGACAGCACCTACCATAGATCAGGTCTCCCTCAGGACTGCTAAATGTCAGTCTTAAGTTATGCCAAGTCTCAGATAGGAAACGTGCCTCAGGCATTTACCACCCAAGATACGTGAAAATTAAGTGACTCACTTTTCTCCTTCTGGAAAAAAGAACAGTTTGTGTGTCTCAGAACACACAGCAGACACTTCAAATGGTAGGGAATCTCAGTATTCAAAATCAAGGTTCTTTGCCAGAATGGCAAAGGCACAAACTGAGTTTCTATGAATGAAGAGGGATTTTTAGTTTCAGAAAAGTCATGTTTGATGAGAAGACGCAGTCCTATTATGATTCCTGATTTCCTTCATTTTCTGCCTCAGTGAAGGGTCGAGATTAAGAAAAAAAAGTCTGATGTCTTTACACTAAAAATAAACAAAAACAGACTCCGTCTAGAATACCAGGAATCTGGATTCAGAGTCTAGACCCCTTTCAATATTTCTGTCAAGGATAATGGTATCAAATCATGAAACGCCGCTCTTTTTAAACAGCAGATACTGAATTGTAAACATTTCTAAAACAACCTCACTGAACAGAGTATCTTATTCTGTTGCTATTCTTCCTCACTCATTCATTGGATTTCAGAACAGAGTACACACATCTTCTACAGTGTTCAAGCTGGCTGTCCACTTCAACACTTCATAATGTTTCATAAAATGTCAAGAATTCCTAAGAATTCGGGACTGACCAAGACATCAATACTGTTCCAACACAAATAAATGCTGAGACTTCTCATCATCACAGCCTCTGCCACCCCACTTTTGTTAACACTGGTATTTATAATGTTTCTCTGCCGCTTCCCTGGTTTTCACCCCAGTTGCAAATTGCCCCACAATTTTATCTTTACCAAAACTGAATCAGCTTCCTGTTTAACCTAGTCTTTCAATTATCTCAAAATCATACATTAGATACTAATCTTCGAATATCACACTCATCTCCACATTGTACTTTCATTCCAAATATTCCACAATATCATCTCAACCTGAACCTCTCATGGAACATACAAGGTTGGCTACCTTGGATTGCTGATTGAGACACAAAACAGGGGTTCCTTCTGTCCTCCTGGGTACAGGTACAAGATCACATGGCACGAGTGGGAGTAAAAAAGCAGATTTCATCTGATATCCTAGCTAATATCCATGCCTTCACCCTCATTAAAACAACTTATCTGGTTATGCATCTGACTGCTGTTTTGAGAACTATATATGCTAATTCACTGACAGTAAAGCACTTCTGCTAACTGTGAGCATAAAAGCCACAATATAATTCTAAGTTTTTAAGAAAACATTTTGATTTACCAGTTGTACACTGACAAAAATATGCTAAGTCCAGTGACAACTCACCGTGCTGATTTGTGTCATACTTCCTGCTTTTTCAGATTACTTGGGCTCCTCATCAAGATTAGAATAAGGAAAATTAACCAAGTTGGTGACACCTCAGTCTCGAATCACCAACTGTCAAATCTTGAAAATCCTCCATGTTTTCTCAAAGTGCTCATCTTGCAATATATCCCTATACCATATCAGGGTGTCAAATACACGTGCCAAGGATCAGCGAGTACTTTTGTTAGCAAACGATTTTACGAACAAGTAACTTCAGCCACCAAATGAGTGAGGTGAGGAAGAAAAACAAAAACAAAAATGCCTTACAACTTATGTTTTACTATTGACACCAAATAAGCAATTGAGAATGCCGGATATTAAAGAAAATGCAATGACATTCAGCCCCGATGAAGATCCAATGACCTCTGAACTTTGCATAAGCAATCAGCAACGGGGGATGCACATTACTGTGGATCAACAACCATGAAACTTAGCCTAGATCTAAACATTTCTACACAGAGTTTTTGTTTGACTTGAATTTACACTGTCTGAGAAGATCAATAATTTCTTTAGTGATGTGATTCCACCGGCCGATACCCCCTCCCAAACTACTTGCCTCAGCAAAGAGAAAAGGGGGCACTCGTGGCACAGTTTCTGGGAACGTCTGGGCCAGAAAGCCAGGTTCACATCCCATCTGGTCCAGAGGTGCCTGAACAGGTTAATTTGAAATAATAAATTGTCCAGCTATCCATCTCTAAGGACGCTGACAGGCTGCAAGGTCTGGCAGTGTTACAAAGCAGTCCACGGTCAAAGAGCTCTCCGCACGGGCCCGTTCAAACATTCAGGTTGCCTTTGGATGGGAACCGCGTGATAAATCCAAAGGAAGACAAATAAAGTTACGGAAATCCTCGAACGGGCCTTCTGAAATGCCCTGCACACCACCCAAATAAAAGAGAAAAGTCAGACATGGAAGACAATGCAGTTAAAGTTTTAAAAGGGGAAGGTGAAATGTGAATAATTAAACATGGCTTCTTCGTGCACTACTACCACCATTCTGTACCCCGCGTGCAGAGCCTCGGATCCGGGGCAAAAATAACCAGAGCTCGCAGAAAGAAAGAGGGGCATGAGCCCCGTGTCCAAGAACAGCTGCCGCCGGGAGGAGAGAAACTCTGTGTGTGTGTTGGAGGGATATCCGAATCCCTTTCCCTCCCCAGCAGGCCCACTCCAGGGGCTCAAGGCCTAGTCCGGTCTGGGAGAGGAGAGACCGATCGAGAGCTCCGGGGAGGCGAGAGCTCAACCGCCGACACCTACCGGGCCTGGTTAGAGTTATCCGTGTTGGGTTTCGGCTGATCGCCGGCTCCGTCCGCCTGCGCCTGGCTTGGGTGTAACAGGCCATCCTGCATCAACAAACCCACGTCGGCCATGATAGGGAGGAAGCGATGGCTCAGCGAGAGGGGGGGAGGGGAACAGCACCGCCGCTGCCTCCCGCTCAACTGAACCGAACCTGCTGGCCAAGAACCGCCTCCGAAGACCAGCTCGGCACGTCCATTGGGTAGCCTCTTCACATTCTCGCCTCCCAGTGGCTAGGCTGCCTATCACTCAAATGACGCCGGGGCAGCGCCGGACCTTTTTTTCGCAGCCAGCAGATTGTGTTGCAGTGCTAGACCGGAAGTGATGTTCGTCTAAGGAGCTCAGAGCTCTTCATGATCCAGTTCATATGCTGCTGTGTGGAGAGAAAAGTTGATTCGTTTGTAGATAGTCACAGCAACCGAGGAATTAAGTCTGTGGAAAGAAAGTTGGAAAATTAAGCAATAACCGTCTGACACGTGTCTTCAGTGTGAACACAAGAACTGAATCTAAGGCAAGATAACCATGAGGTGTGGATTGGGAATCATGACTGAAGGGGTTGATGATGGGCAGAACATTTGAAGAACATGTTCATGAGTTACAACAGTTACTCATTCCTGCCTGGCATAAAAAAAAGAGGAAATGTGGCTCAACCCTGGCTTACAAAAGAAATTAGGGAAAGTATTAAAATGAGATGCATAAAATTGTCACAAAAAGCAGCAAGCTTGAAGATTGGGAGTATTTTAGATTTGGCAAAAGAGGACAAGAGGTTTGATCGGGGCGGTATATAGAGTATAACAGTAAGATTGCAGAGAACATAGAATTAACTGTATAAATATGTGAAGAAAAAAATTTCTAAAGTCATGTGAATAATTAAACATGACTTCTTCATGCACTACCACCACTCTCTACCCTGCATGCAGAGCCTCAGCTCCGGGGCAAAAGTAACAAAAGCTCCCGGAAGCTTGGGAAATTATAGTGAGGAACAAAGAAATGTCAGAAGAGTTAAACACGCACTTTGATTCTGTCTTCACCAAAAAAGCACAACTTCTCAGAACTGTCAGGGAATCAAGTATTTTGTGAGAGAACAGAATTGAAGGAAGTCATTATGAATAAGAAAATGATGCTGGGGCAATCAAGGCTTAATTAAGGTTAAAGGTTGACAAGTCATCAGGGTCTGATCATCTACGTCCCAGAGGACAAAAGGAAGTGGCCTTAAAAATATTGGACAAAGTCAGAAGGCACACGACACCTACAGAGACTTATCATTTGACACTCCACTTACACCGGTTGTATGATCTTTTGATCTCTCTGCCTACAAGCTCTGGGTCTGTGTGCCCTGCTCTCTCACTACACCTGATGAAGGAAATGTGCTACAAAAACTTATGTGATTCCAAATAAACCTGTTGGACTATAACCTGGTGTCGCGTGACTTCTGAGTTTGTCCACCCCAATCCAATGCCACATCACCTTGATAAATTGTTATGATCTCTCTACCTTAATTAGTTTGTACAGTTTTGAATTATTTATTACACACACACACAGTCTCACGAACACTGTCAAGGCACAGTCTCTCTCACTCACACAATCACAAACACAGAACCTGTCTCACACAAACACATACACCATCACACTCTTTCACACACATATACTCTCTCACTCTCTCTCGCACACACACACAAATCTAAGGGGTGAATCATTTCATCCAAGATGTTTGTTTATTTGCAGATACATTCTATTTTGTTCAAAAAACACACACAATTTGTAGTCACAGTCAGTCAGTGTGGGATCTTATAAATTCCAGCTTTTGAAATAAAATCAGCCTGATTCCAGATTAAAACTCTGAGACAAATTCTGAATTAAGCCTCACACCTACAATTTAGTGTCTGACCTGAGATGTCACCTTTTATATAATCTATGGCTCTGCCTGATTGTCATGACAGCACAGCAGTGACACTGACTTTATAAACAATTTGCACACCTGCAGAGACTTATTATCTGACACTCACATCAGTTGTATGATATTTTGATCTCTGTGCCTGTAAACTCTGTGTGTCCTGCTCTCTCGCTGCACCTGGCGAAGGGGCTGCGCTCCAAAAGCTTGTGTGATTCCAATTAAACCTGTTGGACCATAACCTGGTGTCATGTGACTTCTCACTTTGTCCGGTCCAACACCAGCACATCCACATCATGGAAATGCGTTGGTTGTCATCATTGAAAATTCTATGGATTCTCCAGCAGTTCCTGAAGATTACAGGTTGGCAAATATGTAGAAAGAACAGAAGTACAGACCAATTAGTCAAACATCAATAGTGGGGAAAATGCTAGAGTCCGTTATGAAAAACGTGATAAGAGAACATTGGGAATAAATGGGATTGGGCAAAGCCAGCATGGGTTATGAAAGACAGATCATCCTTAAATCTACTGGAGTATTTTGAGGATATAACTAGCAGAATAGATAAGGGAGAGCCAGTCAATATGGTATATTTAGATTTTCAGAAAGCTTTTGTGAAGATTTCTCATAAGAGATTAGTGTGAATAAATGGTCTTTCCGAGTAGCAGGCTGGTTTTTTATTTATTCATGAGTCTGGGCGTCACTGTCTGGACCAGAATTTATTGCCCATCTCCAGTTGCCTTTAAGAAGCTGGGGGTGAAGTACCTTGTTGGATCAATTAAGTTCACATGCAGTAGGTAGACCCACAAGGCTGTTCAGAAGGAAGTTCCAGGATTTTAACTCAGTGACATTGAAGGAATGGCAATATAATTCCAGGACAGGATGGTGAGTATCTTGGAGCAGAACTTGTAGGTGATGGTGTTCCCATTTATCTGCTGCCCTTGTTCTTCTAAGTGGAAACTTGGAAGGTGCTGTCTAAGGAGCCTTGGTGCAGTGCATTTTGTAGATGATACACACTGCTGCTACTGAGCAATGATGCTGGAGAGAGTAAATGTTTGTAGATGTGGTGCTGCTTTGTCCTGGAATTCTTGCATGTTCTTAGAGTTGCACTCATCCAGGCAACAATGTTGCACAAACATGTGCGCAGACACTCCGATATTCCATGCACAACCAGTGGCATTGTCAAATAGTCATAGACTCATTGAGATATACAGCATGGAAACACACCCTTCGGTCCAACTTATCCACGCCGACCCGATACCCTGTATAAATCTAGTCCCATTTGCCAGCATTTAGCCCATATCCCTCTGAACACATCCTATTCAGATACCCATCCAGATGCCTTTTACATGTTGTAATCATACCTGCCTCCACCATTTCCTCTGATCGCTCATTACATACACACACCACCCTCTGTATGAAAACGTTGCCCCTTCGGTCCCTTTTATATCTTTCCCCTCTCACCTTAAACCTATTCCCTCTCGTTTTAGACTCTCCCACCCCAGGGAAAATACCTCGCCTATTTACCCTATCCATGCCCCTCATGATTTTATAAGACTCTATAAGGTCACCCCTCAATCTCCGACGCTCCAGGGAAAATAGCTGCAGCCTATTCAGCGTTGCCACCCTCCCCCATACCTTAAATCTCTGACCCTGGCAACATCCTCGTTAATCTTCTCCGAATCCTTCCAAGTTTCACAAAATCCTTCCCATAGGAGGGAAATCAGAATTGCAAGTAATACTCAAAAAGTGGTGGAACCAATTTTCTGTGCAGGTGCAACATGACCTCCCAACTCCTGTACTCAATACACTGACCAATAAAGGCAAGCACACCAATACCTTCTTCACTATCCTGTCCACCTGTGACTCCACTTTCAAGGAACTATGAACCTGCACTCCAAGGTCTCTGTTCAGTAACACTCCCAGGAGCTTACCATTAAGTGTGTAAGTCATGCCCTGACTTGCCTTTCCAAAATGCAGCACCTCACATTTATCTAAATTAAACTTTGTCTGCTACTCCTCAGCCCATTGGCCCATCCGATTAAGATTCTGTTGTACTCTAAGGTAACCTTCGCTGTCCACTGCACCTTCAATTTTGGTGTCATCTCTAAACTCACTAACCATTCCTCTTGTGTTCACATCCAAATCATTTATATAAATGAGAAAAAGTAATGGGCCCAGCACCAATCCTTGTAACATTCTACTCGTCACAGGCCTCCAGTCTGTAAAGCAACCCTCCACCACCATGCTCTGTCTTCTACCTTTGAACCAGTTCTGTATCCAAACAGCTAGTTCTCCATGTATTCCATGTGCTCTAACCTTGCTAACCAATCTACCATGAGGAACCTTGTTGAACGTCTTACTGAAGTCCATACAGGTAACATCCACCATTCTACCCTCATAAATCGCCTTTGTTACTTCTTCAAAAAAACTCAATCAAGTTATTCAGACACTATTTCCCAAGCACAAAGCAATGTTGATCATCCTTAATCAGTTCTTGCCTTTCCAAATACATGTAAATCCTGTCTGTCAGGATTTCCTCAAACAAACTGCCCACCACCGATGACAGACTCACTGGTCTATAGTTCCCTGGCTTTTCCTTACCACGTTTGTAACTGATGGCACAATGTTAGCCGACATCCAATCTTCCAGCACCTCACCTCTGGCATTTGATGATACAAATATCTCAACAAGGGGTCCAGCAATCTCTTCCCTCGCTTCCCACAGAGTTCTAGGGTACACCTGATCAGGTCCCAGGGATTTATCCACCTTTATGTGTTTTAAGACATTCAACACCTCCTCCGATGTAATATGAACATTTTTCAAGATGTCGATATTTATTTCCCCACACTCTCTAATTTCCATACTCTTTTCCACTGTAATCAGTGATGCAAAATACTCATTTAGTATCTCACCTGTCTCCTGCAGTTCCACACGTAGGCAGCCTTGCTGATCTTTAAGGGGCCTTATTCTCTCCCCAGTTACCCTTTTGTCCTTAATGTATTTATCGAATCCCTTTGTATTCTCCATAACCCTATGTGCCAAAGCTATTTCATGACCCTTTTTGCCCTCCCTGCCAGTATACTCTTCTAGGGATTGACTCGATTTCTGCCGTCTATACCTGACATATGCTTCCTTCTTTTTCTTGACCAAAACCTCAATTTCTCTCGTCATCCAGCATTCCCTACTCCTACAAGCCTCACCCTTCACCCTAACAGGAACATAATGTCTCTGGACGCTCATCTCATTTTTGAATGCTTCCCATTTT